AAAAAAAAACCAAACAACCTGGAAATTTTACTATTCATTCGAAAATAAAAAACTTTACTGTTCATCCGAAAATTAAAAATTTTACTGTTCACCCGAAAATAAAAACGATTACTGTTCATCCGAAAATAAGAAACTTTATTGTTCATCCGTGAACGGATCTGAATCAAACACAAATTAAGATCAAAGAACCCTAATTTTAATCTTAATCTCTTAGAACAAATCAATGGTGGCTCTGATACCACTTGTTAGATCTAATAAAAACTTGAGATCTAAACCATAAAGCCATGATTTAATTCAAAAAGATTAACAAGAATCAAAAGGTGCGGAAGCATATACCTGAATCCATTGAAGAAAACTTGATTAGGGTTTTGATGATCTTCTAACATTAGGGTTTCTCTCTTATGGATCTCTTTAGATAGGGATAAGAGAATGAGAGTGGTTAACCCTAGATTAGGAACCATAACCCCTTATATATAGGTGTTGTACATTTGTAATTTGGTCCCTCATCAAATTACAATTACAACCTGGTATCTGCACATATAACCCCCATGATTTATTTAAATACCTATTAATCCAAATTGATTGATCACTTTAAGTGGGTTATCCTTAAAGATAGTAATACACATTAATTAATCATATGTGCCCACAAATAGATTTAATTAGATTTAAATCCAACAACTGCAAGCTCCTAGTTTCTCTCACAGACACTCAAATCTGCCTTTTGGAATAGCCTTTGTAAAGATGTCAGCTATTTGATCATTAGTCTTGCAATAAGACAAACGTGCTTCACCATTATTCTGAACTTCTCTGAGAAAGTAGAGCTTTATATTGAAGTGCTTGGTCTTTCCATGGAAGCCTGACTGGATTGTTGGAGATTGCAATGGCTGCTTGATTATCAACAAACACTTCAGTGCCTTCTTCTTGCTTCTCATATAAATCAGCCAATATCTTCCTTAGCCATAAGACTTGATTCACAGCCGAAGTCGCAGCAACAAATTCTGTTTCAACAGTTGATTGAGCCACTATCTCCTGCTTCTTAGAACTCCATGAAAGCATGCCAGATCCAAGTGTGAAGCAGAAGTACTCTTCATATCGTCTATAGATCCTGCCCAATCACTATCAGGAAAAACTATGAAAATCAAGCTTATGGCCATGATTAAACAGCAGTCCGTAATCGTTTGGCTGCCTTGAGATGCTCCTCATTTGCACAAGGCAAAAATCTTGTTAACACACTTAATAGCTTGCAGAATATCAGGCCGGGTTGCTGTGAGATACATCAAGCACCCTACAAGACTTCTATTAGTGGCCTCATCAACATTTTCTGCATCACCTTTCTTGCTATAAGCTTCTCCTTTTGATTCATTGGAGTGTTCATTGATTTGCTTTCTTCCATCTAAAATTTCCTTTGCATACTTTTTCTGACATATGAAAATGCCTTGCTGATCTTGTCTTATTTCCATTCCAAGGAAACATGTCATTTCTCCTAGGTCAGTCATTTCAAAGACCATCATCTTCTGTTTGAATAAGTCAATAGAAGTGCTATTGCTTCCTGTTATCAAGAGATCATCTACATACAGAGAAATAATCAGAATATCAACATTTGAGTTTTTGACATATGGAGTTGGCTCACTTAGATTTTTTGTATAGCCAAAACTTAAAAGATGCTCGTCAATTCTGCTGTACCAAGACCTTGGATCTTGCTTCAAACCATACAAGGCCTTTTTCAACAAATAGAACTTGTCTTCCTGCTTCTTTACTGCAAATCCTTCAGGTTGTTCACATATATTTCCTCCTGCAAGTAGCCATTAAGAAAAGTTGTTTTTACATCAAGCTGAAATACCTTCCACCCCTTTTGTGCGGCTAAAGCAAGCAGCATTCTGATGGTGTTTAGACGTGCGACAAGAGCAAATGTCTCTAAGAAATCAATCCCAAATATTTGAGCGAACCCTTTCAGCACAAGTCTGGCCTTGTGCTTTTAATGGAGCCATCTGCATTTTAACTTGGTTCTGGATACCCATTTGACTCTATAAACCTTCCTGTTTTGAGGCCTTTCAACAAGTTGCCAAGTCTGATTCTTTTTAATCATATTCATCTCCTCCTGCATTGCAGCTATCCACTTTGGATCCTTTTCTGCCTCAATGAATCCTGCAGGTTCAAAAACTGCAACATTGCATCTTTGATATATGTCAAAGAGCAATCTCGCACCTCTTACAGGAAAATCATCGCTTTCTTCATCAACAAGAGGATCATTATCTTCTTGCATTTGTGGAGAATCATGGATCAGCTTTCCTTCTTCTCCTTGCCAACACCAATTTTTTTTCTTCAGCAAAAAGAACATCTCTGCTTACTAGAAATTTTCCCGTCTGTGGTTGAAAAATTCTGTAAGATTTAGAGATGCTACTATAGCCAATGAAAATGCCAGGATCTGCTCTTCTACCAAGCTTATCTCTTTTCACCTGAGGTACATGTAAGAAACAGATGCATCCAAAGACTTGAAGATTTTGCAGAGAAGGTTTATAGACATACCATGTTTCAAATGGAGTTTTTCGGGCCTCAACTTTAACAGTCCCTTAAGAAAAGTAGCTCTAACACCAATTGTTGTCCTTGGCCCTTAGCAATCAAGAACAGAAGAAAATTGTAGGGGAAAAAAACAAGGAACAATGAAGAGGAATTGAAATTGCTTCACTATTCTTCTCAGAACCAGAAACATCTTTAAATACAATCTTAACAAACAGAAAATTCCTAAAAATCTACTAATAGACTTATAAGACAATAGCAACATACTTTCTCGGCTAAAACTTAGCAACAAAAAAACAAAAAAAAAAAACACCCAGAGACATGGTCAACAACCGTGTTTCCTTATTTCCAGTGAATACTAAGGCATACTTCAACACATACAACTAATCTCATGTTTGGATGTCTTCAGTCCTAATCCATTCTTCATCATCTCCATTTTGTTTCAGTTCACCTACTTTGTTTAAACATAAATGCTTTAGATCAAATTTATAGAGTGCCAAAGTTCAACGAGTAGAGCGGGAATTATAAATAATATCTGTTGAACATTTGCCGTTGTAAATGTATTGAATTTACCAGTTGTTAAGCACCTTTTTAAAGTGAAGCAAAGTATGTTTTGTTACGACATTCATGCTTGAATATTACCCCCCGCTAGAAAAGATAAGAAAGAGTCATGAGTTTAAATAGGAGTTGGGTCAGTACTTAGCAACTTAAGTTTTATGTTTAAAGTTGTTTTCTGAACTCTATTTAAGATCCATTTTGACATTCATGTTTGAGTATTACCCCCACGCTAGAAAAGATTCGAAAGAGTCATGAGTTTAAGTGGGAGTTGGGGTCAGTACTTAGCAACTTAAGGTTTTTGTTTAAAGTTGTTTTCTAAACTCTGTTTAAGATTCATTTTAACTCTCAGCCGTACCAAATCTCGATATCTTTAACAATAGAGATTATGGATTATTGCAGACAAACTTGTACTCAAAAAATGTGTCAACAAATGCAAAGTCAGTCTCTATAAGAGCCCAGGTCACCACTGAGGCTCCTGCTAAAGCTGTAAAAATCTCAAAGAAAAATGATGAAGGTGTTGTGACCAACAAATACAAGCCCAAGGAGCCATACATTGGCAGATGCCTCCTCAACACAAAAATCACTGGTGATGATGCACCTGGAGAAACCTGGCACATGGTTTTCAGCACTGAGGGTACTATCAAAATTTCTTTGAGTTCTAGATCAGGATCAAAATTTTCTATTTTTTAATTTTTTGTTTTTTTTGTCGATTAGGGGAAGTTCCATATAGAGAAGGACAGTCTGTTGGTGTGATTCCTGACGGAATTGATAAGAATGGGAAGCCTCATAAGTTGAGGTTGTATTCGATTGCTAGCAGTGCTCTCGGAGATTTTGGTGATTCAAAAACTGTGAGTTCTTTTTTCTCTGATTGATATCAAAATCTTGATTGTTCAATTCATAATTACTTGTCATGTTGTTTGTAGGATTTATTGAGAGTAAACATGTTTTGTGCAGGTTTCTCTTTGTGTTAAGAGGTTGGTTTATACCAATGATCAGGGAGAGATTGTTAAGGGGGTCTGCTCAAATTTCCTATGTGCGAACTTGTTTATAAGTTTATTTGTCAAGTTTATTATGCTTTAGTGTTTGAATATTAGGTTGATAATATTCAAGATGTCACATTATGCTAATATGTTGCAGGTGACTTGAAGCCGGGAGCAGAAGTGAAGATTACAGGACCGGTTGGGAAAGAAATGCTTATGCCCAAAGATCCAAATGCAACTATTATAATGGTATTATTTTTTTCATTTGTTTATCTTTAGTAATCTATTTATTTCGATAAAAAAAGTTGTGAAAATTTCTGTTATTGGATTTGCAGCTTGCAACAGGAACGGGAATTGCTCCTTTCCGTAGTTTCTTATGGAAAATGTTCTTTGAGAAGCATGATGATTACAAGGTAATACTCAACATGTAATCAAAGATAGTAATAATAATTTATGTGGACTAGTCTCTTTGATGTCTTCCCCATTCTTTACTTATGTTTTAGTCTGCTTACTTGTATTTGGATGAGTACTTAATTAAAATGGTTAGGTCAAGTCATACTCAAAATACTCTCCCCGTATAACTTCATAAAATACTATGAACTGTTCGGCAAAAGGAATGTCACTCTTATGTTGTGCGCAGCGGAAATTTCGTCAGCACTTCGGCAGCACAACAAGAGAGATTAGATCGATAAGAATTCCCGTCTCACCAAGGAAACAAGAATCTGAAGCGGATATCTCAACCAAGTGAGATCGGCTCTTCCTCTCATCAGTTCTAGGACTGACCTGTCGAGGGATCCTACAAGCTATTACAAATCACGACAAGAACACAACTTTTACGTGGTTCGGCAAATAGCCTACGTCCACGGGGCAAGGAGAGGGAGATCTACTTATAGAGGGAGAGATACAATTAGGGTTTACAATCTCACAAATAAAACCCTCTCACAAACTCTCAGATCCCTCACACAAATATTCTCTCAAAAGGGGTGCACAAATCAAAGAACAACTACAAAAAGGACTTTGCTTCTTCTTTATAAATAGCCGCCAAAATCTCTTCTGTGTTCTTCACCTGCAGCAGCAACAAGCCTAACTCCCGAAGCCGCAACTCACAAAAAAAAAACAAATCCTCTGCCTCCGCTCCTTTGATTCCCTTGCACAAGTGATTTTTCTCCCGCAGCCACAACAAATTAACCCCTGCCTCGCACGCCTTTCTAGGTTACAAAGCCAGGGTTTTATATAGCTGCTAATCGGGTCAATCGGGTGGGCTAGCAAATTTTTCCGCTGCACAATTCACAAAGAAACACACAACAAAGCAACCCATGTGAAACACAACAACCCACTTGAAGCCCCTTGAAACGTGGGTGGGTCCCACTCATAATTCTCCACCTCGGCGAAGTTTTTTTTTCAAAACTGAGCCGACACCAACCAAAACAAATGCCTCACTTGTTGCATCCAGTATGCCACGGCAACGGACTCATGACAACGGACTCCATCCACACAAGTTGAGACCCAAACGGGAGTGCGAACACTCAACCCAAACCAAATAGTGTCTACTCACCAATCAAACTGAGCCTACACCGACTACACCAAATGCCTCACTTGCTGAGACCCAAATGGGAGTGCAAACACTCACCCCAAATGTCGATGTCGCTCACTAAATCAATCTCACCCCCATCAACTAATCCAAACCCGGCTGCATCATAAAGACTGCCTACGTATCCTCTTGCCCAAGGAATCAAGCATTCACGTAGTTCACCCAAATGGCCTCCAAAAGCCCTCAAACAAATAGAAAAGTCTGCAACTCTTCTTCAATATCACCAAACGATCTGCAACTGATAGCACTCCCAATAGCTCGAAATTGAGACAACTCAAACACCTCCATCTGAGGTGAACCAATGGCCATATCCAAATTAAGTCCATCAGCTGCAATCGAATCCAACTCATCATCTGCATTCAAATCCAAATGATCCCTAATCTGTGTCACCTCAGCTGGAATTCCAAATGATACAGTATGATCTGGAGTCTCCACCCAACGTGGAGTAGCATCACTCTCCACCCGCTATGATGTTCCAAAGATCTGATCACCACTCTTCACCTGCCGAGAGTCAAACGTGACATACCTGCTCAGAACAAAGTCAGAAGCCAATACCTGATAATCAAACATGCCTCTGAATCCCAAATGTGCTATCAGATCAAATCTCACATCCACGATGTGACCAAGTGCTGGGTAGCTAAACATCCGACGTAACCCAAAATCTGAAGCAGCTCCACCAGATCCAAAATCTCTATATGCAGCAGTCGGCAACCTACACATAAGATGGCCCAAACATGTCGTAGCCCGCACACCAATGCCAATGCTCGACATCAAACACCGATCCTCCTCCAGAAAGGAACAACTCCCCAAATCTGCCATCTCATCACGTCGCCCTAAAGTTTCCACACCAATGAAGTGTCTCCAATTATCGTGAGCTCAGCACAAATGTAAGAAAGAACCCCTACCATAATCAGAACGTCGGGTTACCTTTCTACCAACACACTTCCTCCATCTGTTGCGGGCTTCTAGGACTTCACACCAACGGGACTTGGTTGCAACCCACCAATGCCTAGAGCAATCCCCAACTACGGAAACCACATATCGATTACCTCCTAATGATGCTCCTTTGGAAGGCCCCCGAATGCCTGAATGAACACCCCTCAGAAGACCCCTCGAATGATGGATAGAAGTGCTAAACTCCACCTCGGTCTTCTTGCTCATACCAATGGGTTCACAGGACTTCAAACTGCAGGTCAAAGCACTCCTCAATAACTCATACACGGCATTACCAATCAAATAACCCAGCATCAAACAACGCCACAGTCTAGCCGAATCAGATGAAGTCGTCATCTCCCTATCAATCGCCGTGCTTCCAAGCAAATAATACAAATTACTTCTTCTGACGCCCTTCATCATAATCATAGACCCCGATGTGACCTTCAAACGTGCATCCACCAAGGTCACTTTATAGCCAGATGCTACCAAAGCTCCTAGTGAAATGATGTTCTTCGACAACTGCGGAACGAACCTCACTTCATCCAACTCCTGAATCACTCCGTCATACATCCGAATACGAACGGTACCAATACCACCAATAGAGCATGCATGTCCATTACCCATGAGCACAACATCCTCTCTTTCCAACTTCTGAAAGCTAGAGAACCAATCCCTCCTAGGGCAAACGTGGTAAGAAGCACCCGAATCCAACATCCACTCTGTAGAGTTGACAACACAAACTGACGGTAGTGCAGACAACGAATAGCCCAAAGAATCCGAATCTGAATTGTCACCACTAGTCTTGACAACATTCACCTCTGAAGCTTGTACAGCTTTCCCCTTGTTCTTCTCGGCTCGATCTAACTTTGGACATTCGGCTTTCCAATGCCCTTCCTCTTTACAAAAGGCACACTGATTCCTACGAATCCTACGATGTGCACCTCTAGACTGTGACCTTCTGCTTCGGTTTGAACCACGACCATGAACTACTAATGCATCTCCCGATGCCTTCTCGGAGGACTCATCCACACTCTTCCTCAACTCATAATTCACTAACGCTGAGGTCACCTCCTTGTAACTAACAGTAGTTCTTCCATTAATCATAGTTAGGACAAAAGTACCATAATCATCCTCGGGCAATGAACACAAAAGTAGCATCGCCTTGTCTTCATCATCAACCATGATATCCACATTGGCCATGTCTGAAAGTAGCTTTGTGAAGTTGTTAACATGCTCACTAATGGAAACTCCTCTCTTCATCTTGAACTGGTAAAACCTCTTCTTCAAGTGAAGCCGATTCTCAATGCTCTTAGTAAGATACTTTTCATTGAGTGTTTCCCACATCTTCTTCGTCGACGTCTCGTTCATCACGTCATAAATAAGATCCGGCATCAAGCATGACCGAATAACTCCACACGCCCTACTATTCATCTTCTTCCAAACCTTAGCTTCCATCTCGGCAGGTTTCTCTTGTAACTCAAGAGTCTCCTCCAAATTCTGAGCGTCCAAGGCGTCCATCACCTGACATCTCCACAATCCGAAGTTAATCTTGCCGTCGAACTTCGGAACATCAATCTTCATGTTATTGATGCTCAAACTATGTATCGTCTTCGTAAGAGACGATCCCGATGTGCTTGTTTCACCCATATTATCGATCTAACCCTTCAAATAAGAATCCTTTAGCGAATCCTTCAAACAAGCTCCCATGTCTAACCCGGAGCTCTGATACCACTTGTTGTGCGCAGCGAAAATTTCGTCAGCACTTCGACAGCACAACAAGAGAGATTAGATCGATAAGAATTTCCGTCTCACCAAGAAAACAAGAATCTGAAACGGATATCTCAACCAAGTGAGATATCGGCTCTTCATCTCATCAGTTCTAGAACTGACTTATCGAGGGATCCTACAAGCTATTACAAATCACGACAAGAACACAACTTTTACGTGGTTCGGTAAATAGCCTACGTCCACGGGGCAAGGAGGGGGAGATCTACTTATAGAGGGAGAGATACAATTAGGGTTTACAATCTCACAAATAAAACCCTCTCACAAACTCTCAGATCCCTCACACAAATATTCTCTCAAAAGGGGTGCACAAATCAAAGAACAACTACAAAAAGGACTTTGCTTCTTCTCTATAAATAGCCGCCAAAATCTCTTCTGTGTTCTTCACCTGCAGCAGCAACAAGCCTAACTCCCGAAGCCGCAACTCACAAAAAAAAACAAATCCTCTGCCTCCGCTCCTTTGATTCTCTTGCACAAGTGATTTTTCTCCCGCAGCCACAACAAATTAACCCCTGCCTCGCACGCCTTTCTAGGTTACAAAGCCAGGGTTTTATATAACTGCCAATCGGGTCAATCGGGTGGGCTAGCAAATTTGTACGCTGGACAATTCACAAAGCAACACACAACAAAGCAACCCATGTGAAACACAGCAACCCACGTGAAGCCCCTTGAAACGTGGGTGGGTCCCGCTCACACATTAGCTACATAAAATGCTGGTATCCCAATAACTAGCACAGCTTACTCATTAACATTAAATTTTGGAACCTTAATAGCTTTAGATTATTGGATAATGTGGTTTTGCTGTCAATAATAGATCTGTGTTTTTTCTTATTTATTTATTTAAATACCGTTTAGTTATTTCCTTAAAGTTTGGCATATATTTGAAAGTTAAAATCCTAGCCATTTCCCCTCTTTTCAGTTCAATGGATTGGCATGGCTCTTCTTGGGAGTTCCCACAAGTAGCTCATTGCTCTACAAGGAGGTAAACATATCAATAATCAAATAATCCTTTTTAATTAACTGTAGCATATATATTTCTTATCGATAAAAACATTTCTTTTTGGATTAGGAATTTGAGAAGATGAAGGAGAAGGCACCCGACAAATTCAGGCTAGATTTTGCCGTTAGCCGAGAGCAAACCAATGAGAAGGGCGAGAAAATGTACATCCAAACTCGAATGGCACAGTACGCAGAGGAATTGTGGGAGCTGCTGAAGAAAGACAACACCTACGTGTATATGTGTGGATTGAAAGGAATGGAGAAGGGTATCGACGACATTATGGTGAACTTGGCGGCTAAAGACGGTGACTAAATTAAATTAGTGAAAAAATTTCATATAATACGCACAAAGTGTTCTTAAATATTAATTTGACATTTTTTTAATTATAGGTATTGACTGGATGACTTACAAGAAGGAGTTGAAGAAGGGAGAGCAATGGAATGTGGAAGTATACTGATGCTTGTACTTGTATGTAGATAGGTAAATTCTCGTGTTTTATGTGATTTCTTTTGCATCTTAGGTTTTATATATGAAATCAAACTCTGTACTGCTAGCCAAGCTCGGTATCTTGTAAAAATAAATAATATAATTCTTCGACGTGTATTATGACTACTCGAAAAATTTTTGGCCATGTATAAGAAGAAGATGAATGTCTTGGTTCATGTATGAATATGAGTCCATAGTAAGATTTTGTAATACCTAAGAGGTTCTAGCAAAATTGGTAAGTAACCTATGAGTAGTATTCTAAAGTCTTATGTTCGGTTTTTTTTGAGAACCAGCTAATTACGTTCGATCGGTTGCCGGCACGTGTAAAGTACGGTATGATCAACAAACAGCACCGACCTAGTCAAATTACCAATGTGCCCTACCAATCCTTTGTAAATAATGGGCAACTTCCGCTATTTGAAGGCACACGAAAAACTACTAAATTACTCCTTGAAATTAGATTTTGTAAACTTGCTTAATCTATAACTGACTTGAACGTCATAGGGCACGTCGGAGCAGCAAACTTCGTCCCTCTAATGTGTGTTTCCTGTATAAGACTCTAATTTCTCCTAACTGATCAGCTATCAAGGGAGATCAAGGAACCCTATACTCCTCTAAATATCCACTAACTCCTACAGTTGAAATATATGAAGAAACCATAATCTTATTAATGAAATAACATGGGCTTATATAGGCCCCCTACAAATACATCTTACAAATAACCCCTTAACTATTCTAATATGTCAACACTCCTCCTCAAGATGGGCGAAAGATATCCACTAAGCCCATCTTGTCACATCCTCTAACCATATCTACTGAGCTAAGTCCCTTAGTCAGACAATCTGCTGTCTGGTCTTTAGTTAAAACATGACTTAACTCCAGTAATCCACTGTCCAACTTCTCTTTGATGAAGAACCTATCGATGTCGATGTGTTTGGTTCTATCATGCTGCACTGGGTTATTAGCGATACTGATGGCTGACTTGTTATCACACCACAGCTTCATCTTTGCTCCTTGATCCAGTTTCAGCTCCACCAACATACTCTTCAACCACAACAATTCCGCGACTCCCAAGGCCATAGCTCTATACTCTGCTTCAGTTGTTGACCTCGCCACCACTGACTGCTTCTTGTTCTTCCACGAGACCAAGTTACCTCCTATAAAGATACAGTATCCTGAGGTGGACCTCCTGTCATCAGCACAGCTAGCCCAATCTGAGTCACAATAACCCTCAATGCTCATATGTTCATTCTTCCTGAACATCAATCCTTTTCCTGGGGCACTTTTCAAATACCTAAGAATCTGGTACACTGCGTCCATATGACCCTTCCTCGGATCATGCATGTAGCGACTTACCACGCTCACTGCAAAAGAGATATCGGGACGTGTGTGACTCAAATAGATCAACCTGCCTACCAGTCTCTGGTATCTATCGTGATCAACTGGCCCTCAGCACCCAGTTTGAACTTCTGATCGATCGGTGTAGTTGCAGGTTTACACCCCAACATCCCTGTTTCTTTGAGAAGATCCAGTGCATACTTTCTTTGGGAGAGAACAATCCCCTCAGCTCCTCGAGCTATCTCTATCCCAAGAAAATATCGAAGCAAGCCAAGATCTTTCACCTCGAATTCCTTACCCAGTCTCACTTTGAGTTGGGCAATCTCCTTCTCATCATCTCATGTAATAATCATATCATCCACATATACCACCAGCATGGTAATGTGGCCTCCACTTCGTCGAAAAAACACGGTATGGTCGGCGTTGATCTGCTGGTACCCCATACCAATCATAGCCCTCCTGAATCTGTCAAACCAAGCACGTGGAGACTGCTTCAGGCCATAGAGGGACTTCTTCAATCTGCAGACTTTGCCCACTGTCTGATCTGTGTCGAATCCTAGTGGTATTTCCATGTATACCTCTTCCACCAGATCTCCATGAAGGAATGCATTCTTCACATCTAGTTGGTGTAGCTTCCATCCACCATTTACTGCCAGAGAGATCAAGCTCCGAACAGTGCTCATCTTCGCTACCGGTACAAACGTCTCATCATAGTCAATTCCATACGTCTGGCTATACCCTTTTGCCACCAGACGAGCCTTGTAGCGCTCAACTTGTCCATCCAGATTCTGCTTCACAGTGAAGACCCACTTGCATCCAACTGCTCTCTTCCCTTCTGATAGTTTTACTAGTTCCCAAGTGTGGTTCTTCTCAAGAGCCCCTAGCTCCTCGTGCATAGCCGCTTTCCACTTTGGGTCCTTCTTAGCAACCTGCCAATTGTTAGGTACAGTAACAGAGTCCAATGATGCATGAATGCTCCATGTGCAGGGTGGATATTAGAATATGATACAAACTGGGCAAGATCCCAACCATATCTATCGGGAGGATGTCCCGCATTGCTGCGAGTAGTCCTCCGTACTGACATTGGTGAGAGGAATGATATCATCTTGAGAGGAATCTGATGGTAGTGTAGGTGTCTCAGGAGTCGGGACAGGCGTTGATAAGGGACTTGGCACTAGTGGCACTGTAGGTACTGTTTCTGCAATTTGCTTCCCCTTCCTACTATAGGTAAGTAGCTCCCCCTAAGCCGTGGGCCTAACACCTCTTGTCTCCTTATCCTCTTCTTCTTTATTCTCCTGCTCCTCCTCAACCAATTCTCCTTCCCAAGGAATCGTTAGAGAAATCGATTTCTCCATATTATTCTCTACATTATTCATCTGCCTCTCACCATTCTCCACTTCTCGCCTCATACTTCCAGTATTGGGCGAGTCACCAACGGATGAGGGTACCTTCTGTGTGTAATATGGCTCAAATTCACGAAAGTACACATCCATGCTCACGAACAGCCTTTTCTCCACCGGGCTCCAGCAAACATATCCCTTTTGAGTAGCAGAATATCCCACAAAAATGCACTTCACCGCTCTAGGGGCAAGCTTCCCGACTGATGGTCTGTTATCCTTCACAAAGCACACACAGCCAAATACTTTCAGTGGAAGAATCCCACCATTATCTCCTTTCAACGTCTCACACGGAAACTTCCAATCCAGTACTCTCGAGGGCATTCTGTTGATCAACGCCGCTGTAGTCAATACTGCTTGTCCCCATAATGTTTCTGGGACATTCATGGAGATCATCATACTTCTAGCAACCTCTAAAAGATGTCTGTTCTTCCTTTCCGCTACCCCATTCTGAGATGGTGTGTATGGACATGTAGTCTGGTGTTGTATTCTCTGAGATGATAAATATTCTCCAAACACCCTGTTGGTGTATTCTGTCCCATTATTAGATCTCAATACCTTCACCACTGCTCCATATTGAGTCTGAACATACCTATGAAAGTTTTAAAAGCAGCCAAACACTTCACTCTTATTCTTCATCAGGTATAACCAAGTAACACGAGAGAAGCAATCAATGAAGGTAACAAAATACTTGTATCCATTCATAGAACTTGTGGAACACGGCCCCCACACATCTGAATGTATCATATCAAATGCATGAGAACTCCTATGATCAGAACTAACATAAGAGCTTCTAGTAAGCTTTCCTAACTTACATGCATCACACACAAGTTTCTCTTTATTTACTTTCTCAAATAAAGATGGATACAACCTACTTAAAACACCGAAAGAAGTATGTCCCAAGCGTTTGTGATGAAGCATCAACACACTCTCAGCACTCATCTCATATCTTACTCCTGCTCTCTCTACCATTGACACCAAAGCTGAATCTAGCCCTTCACGATCCAGATACCACAGTCCATTACGCCATGTGCCAGTCCCAAGTCTCCGTCCTGTCTCATTCTCCTGAAAGATCACCTTGGGAATATCAAAAGAAACAATGCATTTTAGTTGGAGGATGATAGAACTAAGCGTCTTGTCCGAACCCTACCATAGGTTGCTCGTTCGATGGTTCCGGACTGCAGACGGGTTCTAGGTCGAGAGGCTCTCAGAATCGACTCGAAATCATCTCGTGCCGATGCCCCCTTGCTCGTCATGTTGGTGGTGACCCTCGGAAATTCTCCGTCTTCAATCACCCTTCTTCTTCGTTGGTGAAATGTACCATCAGCTGTTTGAATACTATCAGGCGATGCTAAGTGAGTATATGATGAGAACTCACTAACATTACCTGTCACATGGCAAGACGCACCGGAGTCGACTATCCACTCTGATGATCTGTCGGGAGACATAGAAGCAAGAGCATGTATGTCATCAGTACCTTTGGTCGGGTGAGCATAGGTAGCAGTGTTGCCTCTGGCGAAGAACGAAGTAGATGCCTCCTCAGTCCCACTCCTCAAGTCTCCATCCCCTGGTACTTGCTGTTTTTTTCTGAGTATTGTCAGGAGAGCACGATCCTCCTCTGTAAAGACCACCTCAGCTTCTTCTTCCTCTGCTACCGTCAGATTCGCCCGATTTCCTGCTCCTCTTCCACCTCGTCGACCCCCACGGCCACGACCATGACCTCCGAACTGTCCACGTCCACCCGAATCTCCTTCTTTGGGTGGCTTGGTGCAAGCATGTCTTAGATGACCCACCGCACCGTAGTTGTAGCATTGTCGAGTCTCTCCCCTAGATCCAGTGTTGCTAGAGGCTGTCAGTGCTGACTTCACCACAGGAAGTCCACCTATCCCCGCCTGCAGCCGAATGCGAGTCTCCTCCTGGATCATAGCAGAGACAGCCTCCTCAAGTGTGGGAATCTTCGGCTGAGCTAGCAGCAATGCGATTCGCTGAGCGAACTCTGATGTCAATCCTTTAAGAAACACCATAGTCCTCTCTTGTAGAAAGGCCTCCCGCTCTTTACATCCCGGGTCCTTGCAGCTAGCCCGGGGAGAAAAATGGTCATAATCCAGCCACAGGCGCTCCAACTCTGTAGCATATTCTTGTACAGTCCTCTCTCCCTGGACTGTGGCGTTGATCTCTCCTTTAATCTGAAATACCCTCAGGTTATTCCCCACTCCATCATATGTCCTCCTCAACTTCTCCCAGACGTCCTTCACCTTCTCAATGCCATCCACCGTGGCGGCGATCGTCGGGACCAACGAGTTGTGAGAAGCCATGTACACCAACATATGAGTGTACTTCCACTCATCTCTTCCCTTTGAGTCCTCCTCCGGCTCTGTCACCTCTCCTGTCAGATAACCCTCCAGATTCCTCCCTGCAAGGGTATATCTCACCCGTCGTGACCAG